AGGCACTCAATGACTGGAGGAGGGAGAGGGACAGAGGGAGAAACTTCCAAAGCAAAGACCCTTCATGAAGGAAACCAGTTACAAAACAGGGAGAAGAGTGACTTGGTAGTGGGGGGAGAGTCCTGGGGGTTTTAAACCTGAAATTTGAAGTATTTTAATCATCTCTGCAGTTGGTCTAAAACGAGGGTGAAAAAGTCACAAAACACTCAATGACTGGAGGAGGGAGAGGGACAGAGGGAGAAACTTCCAAAGCAAAGACCCTTCATGAAGGAAACCAGTTACAAAACAGGGAGAAGAGTGACTTGGTAGTGGGGGGAGAGTCCTGGGGGTTTTAAACCTGAAATTTGAAGTATTTTAATCATCTCTGCAGTTGGTCTAAAACGAGGGTGAAAAAGTCACAAAAAAGTATTAACATTCCCACCCCCTCTTTTGCCCCCCTGGAATTAGAATGTTGACTAGATTGTTCACTGTCATGATGCAATTCAACTCTTTTGTAATGGCATAAATTCTCTGCTAATTCAAACCAATGAGCTCCCACCAAAGCATCTTGCCCGACTGTGGATTATAAATTCTTTGGGGAGTATCACTTCATTCCGAGTTTGTGCTGTGCCTAGCACCAGGGGGTTCTGGTCTATGACCAAGTCTCCTAGGAGCTATGGTAATACAAAAAATAATTAACTGCTGAGCCGTGACACAGGAGAGAGGGGATCTCTGTGGTAACTTGGACTAAAAGTGTCCAGTTCAGTTTATGCTTACCTGAAGCCATGGATTATTATCTTAGTGTCCAGGCTAGTATTGAAGTTTGAGTTCTTGAGATCATCACCAACTGATATCAGCTGCCCACAGCTGGAGTTGGAGGAGGTGAACAGAAGAAACTGGACCTTAAGTTTGGTGACCTGTAAGAAACTTGCCTTCTGAAAGTCCGAGCAGGCCTGCTCTGGGAAATGGGTCTCATTCTCTGCAGTGAGAAAGAAACAAAACCATGCAGGCCTAGTCTGTGTGTGCCCAATAAGAAAGAGCAAATGGAGTGCAGGTGAGGCAGGCAGTGGGTTCATAGTTAGGGCACTGCACTGAAACATTAGAGCATGGGATACAGTTCTCCACTCTATGCCAGCCTTCTAGTCACTTAATTTTTCTGTGCCTCAGTTTCCCCTGGATAGTATACTTGTGGCACAGAGGCCTGTTGATGGTTCACTATTGTGTATCAGCAACTCACCAGACCTGAGCTACTCAGTACACCTAACACACTGCTGTCATAATCTATTGTATACAAACTAACAACACACTAGTCCCTAAAATCATTGTGTGGTGTATGTGTAACCACCGCCTGGTGGATCTGAACCTGGGATCTCTGGAGCTTAGCATAGGAGCCTCTACCCTTTGAGCTAAAAGCCAGCTACCTCTCAGCCCACGCTGTAGAGGTGTCTTTATTCTTATCTGTTGCTGTGGGCTAGGTGTCACTGCATGAGACAGTGACCCACACTAGGGCTGTGTCTACACTGGCACCCTTTTCCGTAAAAGGGATGCTAATGAGACCAGTCGGAATTGCAAATTCCGCGGGGGATTTAAATATCCCCCATGGCATTTGCATTTACATGGCTGCTGCTTTTTTCTGGCTCGGGGTTTTGCCGGAAAAAAGCGGCAGCCATGTTCATGCAAATGCCGCGGGGGATATTTAAATCCCCCATGGAATTTGCAATTCCGAAGTGTCTCATTAACATCCCTTTTACGGAAAAGGGTGCCAGTGTAGACATAGCCTAGGTGTATGGGTTACATATGCATATGGGGTGAACAGACAGTTCCATACATATATGCTGGAATTATGTTCTTAAAATGGATCTGGCAAGCAATACATAAAGCCAGTCTGCCCTAGATGAAAGCACGTATATTTACTACAGGTCCCTCTTTGGTCTCTTAAGGTAAAGCTTCTAGCCTCCACACTCATGACACCACATCTGCCACAGTGCCCCAAACGTCTTTTATTCTGTGCGGTACATTTGTCATTTTAAAAACAGTAGAAGCGCACTGAAAAAAAGGTATTCTCACTCTGGAAAAAGAGCATCAGCGCAGGCTGTTATTGAAGTAGAGTGCTATAACTGTGCTGGTATAGTTAGGCTGGTAAACAAGTCCTTTCTGTTTCACTTGGTCTATCACCACAGTACGGAATTTGCCAAGTGCATTGTAAAGTTAAACATATTACTTGCAAAATGTTTTAAAATCTTGGTATGGAGTACGCTAGAGCATTGTTGTATTTTTCATATGCTCAGAGACATGCATGCACGCACATGTGCAGGAATGACATAGGTGCTGATCTGAAAATGTGCCTGGTAGGTCACATTCATCCTTGGTACAGCCCCTCTGAAAAGCTTGATTCTTCTCCATGTTCATTCTATCGCCACCACATCCTAAACTTTCTTTCCTTTTCTAAACAACCTTGAAGCCATGTTTAAAACCGAAACAAGAAATCCCCTTGGAAATCACTTGTTACTCCAGCCGAGGATACGCCAAATAGATCCCAGAGGGACCAGGGTTGAATGCAATGAACTGAGTCAAAAAACTCAGTGCCCAAGTCTCCCACTGCAGAATATGAGAATCTCCCACTGGTGTCCGTTGAGGACTTACCCATACCTGTGGACAGGGAAGGAAGAACCAGGCTCAGGGGCTACATTTCTGACTGCAACTAATCAATTGTATGATCGGGCAAGGCTGATTAGAAAGGACTAATTCAGTGGCAGTCCTGCACCTTCCATGAACAGCAGCTGGCGGCAAATGTGAGAAAGAGCAGGCAGTTTCACTGTGGGCTGTGCAGCCTCCTTAGGACTGTAGCATAACAGAAGTTTTTCAGTGATAGAAATGTAGCCGTGTTAGTCTGGTGTAGCTGAAACAAAATACAGGACAATGTAGCACTTTAAAGACTAACAAGATGGTTTATTAGGTAAGAGCTTTCTGAGGAAGTGGGTCTGGCCCATGAAAGCTCTCACCTAATAAACCATCTCGTTAGTCTTTAAAGTGCTACAGAAGTTTTTCAGTGATTTTTTTTTTTTAAACCAACCATAGAGACCCAGATCTTCTTCCTTATTTCAGATCAGATATGCTCAGGTTTCAAGACTGAAGTTGTTTTTCTCATTTAGCAACTCAGCCAACACCCCATCTGGCCGGTTCTACCTACCGCCTGCTCATAAAGATTTTGCAGCGTGCTCCTGCTGTTACTTTTGTAAAGCTAAGCGGATGGACCCACCTCACAGAGACACAAGTGCCAAAGCGGTTGAACTTGTATGGGCAGTTAAGAAAGAATCATTTCTACAGTCACTCTTCTGATCCAAACCACACTTGACTAACAAGGATCTGATAAGTTAGATTGCAGAGGGCCCCAGTCAGTTGAATCCACAACCAGAATCTACATCTGTCAAATTTTCCTACTCCTTGCCTGCCGCCTCTGGTGCCTGAGCCTCCCCCCCAGTATCCACCTCACCTGCACATGCTGGGCTGAGCAGCAGGACAACAGAGAGAACAAAGAATCCAAACCACACTTGACTAACAAGGATCTGATAAGTTAGATTGCAGAGGGCCCCAGTCAGTTGAATCCACAACCAGAATCTACATCTGTCAAATTTTCCTACTCCTTGCCTGCCGCCTCTGGTGCCTGAGCCTCCCCCCCAGTATCCACCTCACCTGCACATGCTGGGCTGAGCAGCAGGACAACAGAGAGAACAAAGAG